CAGCATTATCCCAGAGTTACTCTGAGTAATACTCTGCATACATACGTATATAGAAATAGAGATTTCACTGTGGGAGGTACTGTATATCATGTGGGACTTTCTGAAGTGGAGAAATTGCTGTGCAAATTTACATGGTGGACTGCCTATGATTTTGCATAGTACAAGCTGTTCTGGATTGCCTGCACTAGACCATGTGGCATAGACAGAAATTGCCTCCTCAGCCTCAGTCCCGTGCCTTCAACCCCAGGAGACCAGTTTGTGGGACAAGGAGTGACATTTCTCTGAGGTGCTCCCAGAGTATTTCAGACCAGAATTTTGTTCTAAACATGCATTCATGATTTTTCCTTTGGTGTGGTCGGCCCTATGGTTTTAAACTATTAGGACTTTGGACACTACTGGTGTTGGGGAGGCAAGTTTCTTACTGCCAAAGGGCAGAAGATGAACATCAACCATTTGGACACAGCTTCGTGTTGAGCACATGCAATGATTTAATTTCTGAGATCTTTTATTGCGCTTGAAGAAGGGGTTAATGCAGACCTAGGGTGGAGGTTATGAGAAAGGCAGTGGTGGCAAGCGCAGAAAACAAACTGTAACCAGAGAAGTTGAAATGAAGATTTGTTTTTGGAGTCCAGCACAGAAGAATTTTAGCATCAAGTTTGCTACTTGTTCAGTCTTTATTGAACTTTCTCAAAGGGTTGTTCTTTATATGTGTGTCTCAGTAAAAAAGAGAAACACGTTGCTTTGATGTAGGTTTTCTTTCTTTAAACAAAGAACAGGCCATCCAGGTGCTCAACCCTTCTTAAGAGGAAAGCTTAAATAAGGCAGCCAGTGTACCCAGCCTGTCCCTTGCATTTTGGAGGGTTAAACTTCATGTAAATTTGTGAAGCTGGCACATATAAAAGCATATTCTACCCTCTGTATTTTTTCCCACTGGTATGTTGTCTGCTCACAAAAAGTGGTGTTTCTATGTCGTTTTCTCCAGATATCCCCATTTTTTTTTCGTTTTTGTTTTTGTTTTTGCTTTTGTTTTTTTTTCCCCCCTACCTACACATTCCATTTTAGTGCGCCATCTGCTTTCAACCTACTTAGCATTATACTCCAGCTTTTAAAGACAGAGGAATTCAAGTGCCAGGGTCTGTGTTTTATTGCTAAAGATGGCATGGAGACCTTCTTTAAATGGTTCCAGTTCATCTAAAGCCCCTGTTTGGATGGTTTTCAAAGGCAGCTTAGGGTTATCAAGCTTCTACTGCAGGTCTTGCTAATCTTTTTAAAAGGACTCTCTCTGAGATTCTTTAACTTCCTAAACACTCCTTTTTGCCTACTTCAAAGCTAGGAAATATGGTTTTTTTAATGTGAAAATTTCATACATCCTTGTCTTAATTTTTCTTGACGGATGCAAGCTGTTGTGTGACCTAAAATCCAGGAAAAAAAAACCAACAGAAACCCTACCTTAAAAATGTATAAAATAATTTTTGTCATTTTTACACTTCAGACTGAAACTTTCTTAAATACCTTACGCTTTAAAGTCTTGAGTCTTGCTTATTTCTGGAGAAGAGACTGAATTAAAATAGTGTAGACTTTCAACTTGGGAATCTATCTTAATTTTGAAGTGTTTGCAACTGCTGGTAGCTGCAATAAGTACCCCAGTCAGTTTCAGCTACTTTTTGTTTCTCCAGCTTTGGATATTGCAGCTTTCTCTGTAGGCCAGCTTTCTGAAGTTCAGCAAATAACCTCCATGAGTGTCCTGGGGCTGTTCTCCACAGTGGACGCTTCTCCTCCCTGACATACGCAAGGGATTGTGCTGAGCTGGAGGCAAACTGACAGTCAGGACAGATTGCACTGAACCATTCTTTTCTTCGGCTCAGGCATGTGGTCCACGTGTGCAGAAGAGTCCTGCTTTGGCATTGCCTGTTGTGTCCCTAGTGCCTGTCAAAGCAAGAAGGCCACATAAATTGGCAAGGAGCAATAAAAATATTTTGCGCACAGTGTTATGTTGTTTCTGGGACTTTTGTACCCACAGAACACTGGGGGTTTTTTTTGGGTGGATTTCTGAATAGATGTTTTATTCCCTTAGATTTTAAACTGTGATTTCTACTTGCATATATGTCTATATGAAATCCCAGTGGGCATTAATCTGCATCTTTAAGCACTTTAAATATCTTTACAGTGTTGTTCTTCACTTATCTGTGGGGAGATAACTCCTCAGTGGAAGCTAAAATTCTTTATAGAAATACCTCGGCTGTACAGAAAAGATATTTTTCTCCATGAAACTTGTAGATTGGTTTTGTCAATATTCCCAAGTAATTTCCCAGCAAAGCTCAAATTCTCTGTTATATTTTGTACCTTTACCCAGAAATCTAAGAGAAACTTTTGCCCCTTTTTTTTTCTTTTTTTTTGTTAGTGGAAAAGTCTAATTGGAATGGATGAAATGACATTATTAAATACCAGAATGAAGATCACCAGGGAAATAATCGAGCTGCTGATACTCTGATACTCTAATGTTAACTCAGTGCTTCTAAATAATCAGTAATCAGCAACTTGAATTAGACTGAGATAGATTCAGCTAAGTGCTTGACTACTCAAAGCAAGTGCAAGAGATTTGGGGAAAAGCTCAGTGCAGTCAGGGAAAAAAAATATACTGCATTAAATATGCAGGACTAAAGAAATCATGCTTCCATTTTAAGTAAACACATTATCTTTTGATATATGTTGGTCTTTCTTCATGTGAATCATGAATCTTGCAGCACTTGAAGCCCTGATTAATATTCTTAATTGCTCTCCCTTTTTCATTCTTGCAGCTGGCAGATGGAATGCTGCAGATCAGACAGTGCCATATCAGTAGTGTTTATACTGTCTGTGAACAAATGGTGTTATAGCCTGCACGTTTATCCCCTTTGATCCATACACAAATGAAGCAAGGTGCAATAATCAAGACTTGCTTTTTTAATTTTTTTTTCTTTCTCTTTCCTGTCTCTGTGGTGTTAACCCTTTTGGGAGCAGATGATAGGACATGGACTGTGAGCCAATTTCTGTAATGACAAACAATTTTCAACAAAAAGGACATCTGGAAATCCTAGGACATCTACATCCAGAATGGATATCTGCATCCCTTCTCTCTGGACAAGATATGCTAGACAAATGTCTATCTTCCAGTAAACTGGGCTGAAAATTATTAGTGGGAGTGTCAGCAGTTTTTGTGATTTTCTGTGCCAGTGCTAATTAGAGTGGATATACAAAGAATCCAAAAGAAAGAGCATAATATCAGTAAGAAGCTGAGAGATGATTTCTAATTAGCTGAAAAGTGAATGAAGGTTCAATATTTCCTTCTGTTTGCTAGGGGCAAAGAATGAGTTCTCTAAATGAAAGAATCCTAATTACTCTAGAAATTTAAGCTTTTCAGATCTTTCTATTTCTTATGTGTTTTCAAACTACCTTCCAGGTCAAAGAATGACTTTTCTCACTAGCAGCAATGCAAAATCTATTTTGATAGGAAAAGCAAGACCTTCCTTCTCTGTCATGACTGTTAGCAAAACCAGTAGATGAAGAGTGATCAGTTCATTTTATAATGTGCACATTGTTTTGTTGATGTTAAAATTAGATGACATTTTATGTGGTCAACATTGCTATCATAATCTATTTGTTTACAATAAAAATATTTTAGCCTAAGGAAATATATTATGCTATGCATAATTCACTTGGCTTTTGGACACAGGAAGGTTTCTGTGTTTTTCAGTTAGTTTTGTAAGAGGAAATGTGTTTTCTCATGCATTGAGTAGGACTTGTAAATGTACCGTCCCACAAAGGCACCAGAGTCTGACTAACATGAGGTGATAGGCTAAAATTGGACTCTACTTTGAATATTCATCTTGTTGGAATAATTTAGGTAATGAATCAAATGACCTCCTGTGATTGCTTGGATGTGATTATAAAAAAAAAAAAAAGGAAAGAAAAGATGTACAGTATCACAGGTTATGACACCAGCACATAGAACTGCAGTAGAACCCTCAAGCTCAGACATCATAATTCCTCATCAGCTATTTCTCTGAAAGGTTCGGAACTTTGTCATTGAAAGGACTCTGTGGTTATAACAATGATGTCAACTTGCAGGAATTCAAAGAAATGTGTATTGAAGAATACACAGTGAAACTACTGGATGTAAGGCTACAAAATGCCCATTTAATTATCAGAAATATTCTGAACATGTGTCCATTTATGACCCATCAGTTCCACCCTGTCTGCAGCCTCAGGTGTCAATGCAAAGCAAAGCAAACTCAGCTTAGTAATTCCTATAACTTCCATCAGTAAGGTGGTAGTCTAAGCAGGTTCCCACACTGGCATACTTACTTATAAGACTTCCCTTTTCTTATGGTTTCAAATCCTTTTGATTGAAACTGTATCTCAGTTCATGTTATTATTCTCACTATTAATAGCTGAAGGGACTCCTGTAAGCTGCAAGTGTCTGGTTGGAATTCTCTGGATGTGCCAGTTGTTCTCTCCATTGCTGTTGTTGTCATCGAACTTACATTTTTGTAGCAGTATTTGTCATGATGCTAAATTCTCATAGTTGCTGCATAGGTGTTGTAAAGTGTTTCATGCATTCTGTGCTGGAAACCAAGGCATCACGGGGTTGCATGAGGTACCGGTACCTTTCTTATTTTAAACAAAACTACCTCATTCTTTTTTTTTTTTCTTTTTTTCTGCTTCAGTGTCTATAATAATTATAATTAAATGAAATTTGTTGAGGTGTTTCATGTATCTGGTGGGGTATAGATGTGTCTTTTTGATTTGATTTACCACTCTGATGTACAAAATGCCAAATTTTCCCTCTGGCAACATGTGACAGTTATAACACCTTTCTCATTCCAGGCAGGTTTCAGGCTAAAACCTGAGGTGTATTAGAGAATTCGTCTGATACAAATTGGCCCTGTTCTTGCAGGACACCAAATCAACAAGTCTAACAGCTGCAAACCAGGATTTTTTTCCTTCCTTCCAGGCATCCCATCACTGTTGTTCTTTGGCGTCTGAACTCACGGTGAACTGAGTTTATCTTCATTAGATAAATCTATCTTCAAAGATAGGCTTTCTCTTCATTACGGGATGATATAATGTGTAAGTGAAAATTGGTAATGAGATGTTACTGCTCTTGGAGTGTGATTTATTAGGAGGAAGCTAAATTCTAGTTAAACAAATACACTTCTATTTGAATGTTGACAGAAGATGAGTAGAGCATCTGATCATTCCTTATATCTTTAAGAAGTGGCTTCCTAATGAAATCAGATACTTTAAGTGTCTAGATCTCTAGCTCAAAACTTATTTGACATTTCATTATCATATGAATTACTCTTTTAGCTTGGCAAGTTTAGACATAAAACTTGGATACTAAGTACTGAGTGAAAAATTGACTGGGGGAATTATAAAGATTCTAATATCTCAGCATTTTCTTTGCTTTTATTGATCACTGCAATCTTGATGATGTGTCAGCAGCCAAAAAGCGTTCTAAGTAAGTTGATATATTAAAAATGATGCAACCTTTTATCTAGATTTATATTAGATGCAATCAGATGACACACAACTGTGATCTACTTTGTGACTTTCAAAATTGGTTACGTCAAAATCAAAGGAAATTTGACTGAATAATATTAATATTTTATTGCTAGTTGTCCTTATTTATTCAGATATTTACTTTGATATGGTCCCTAACATTTATTCTGAATGAAAGTCTAGAGACTTATAAACACCCTAAAAAATGTAGTTTTCCAACAGAAAATTGTTTGTGTTTAAGTATAGTGTATGCTTAGGTGTTACAGAACTGTTGCATCACCCTAGCTATCACATTTTGGCTTTATACATGTTTTAGTGAATTATATCCTGACTAAACCAGAGAAAAATTACTGTTAACAAATGTGACAGTTTCTGTTGGGATTTTTTTTAAGGTTGACTAGATTAAATTGGATTTATCTGAAACCCGGTGTATCATGTAATAAACTGGGTGGGATGTTTGGTTAAAACATAGGTTTTAACTCATGTTAACTAAATTATATACCCTAAAAAGTACAGAAATTTTTAGTTGCTAAAAATGCATGTAACAGGTAAAACATATAGTAAAAAAAAAAAAGACTGAGAATGTCAAAATGATGTTTAGCAAAGAGGTAGTTCTGTTTTATAATAAATCCCAACCACATCTAAATTATTGCCATATCAGCTGCTAAAGGTTTCATTTTTTATCACTTATTACCCAGGTAAGGCAGGGGAACGAACAGCCATATACATGCAAAGCTCTTCCTTGGGTAAGTCACTAAAGGGGAGTGGTCTAGGGAGAGATGGGTCTCAGGAAAGATGGGCTCAAATCTGTATTCTGTCACAAACTTCCCCTGAGGTTAAGCAGGGAAAGACCATAAATCCCATATGTAAAAAAAAGGGGTTGTTTTCATTTTCAGTGGGTCATAAAATACCAAGGGCTGTTGCAGACCTAAGGAGAGATTTGCTCTGCTTTTTCTACTTTCCTAAGTGAGGATTACTGAACTTTTTGGTTTTACAGTGTGCTCTGAAGTCACAGAATTGGTTTCCATTCATCAGCCTGGAAACAAAGATCATTACACAGAGCAACCTAACACTGTCTAGAAGAACTGTTTTGGAAACCTCTGAAGAGAAAAAGAAGGAAAAAAAAGTTAATAATATGATTGAATCAACACATAAATAAAAAAAAAAACAACCAAAACCACAAAAATGGTATGTTTCCAGGGTGTAAGAGAAGATGGAAGGAAAAGAGACAATTAAATAGTGAAATGACAGTGAAAAGGAAGAAGATGCATTCTGACCTAGGGGTCACTGGGGACCTGCGTGTCTGGAAACCCAGGACCCATTGTGTCTTTCTGCTTCTATTTACTTCCTTCATCCTCTGCTTTGGTGACACCGCATTTTGGGGGGGAAATCACAGAATATTCAGAATTGGAAGGGCCTAAATGAAAGATAATCCTTAAGGAAACCTCTGTGTGCCCAGAGTTTATTTCTTCACACTGTCAAGGTAGATGCCACATATCTGCCTTTTTTCTTCAGAGAGTGCTTTTCTTCCTTTGATGTTCCTAGTGTTCACTCAGACCTCTGTATCTGCCTGGTCTTTTCTATGGGAAGACTTCAGCAATAAAGCTGATCTCAGATTTCTCTGCCAGGTTACTTCCTGCCTTCCACCTTTACCTCTGAAAAAGTCCACTCATTTTCTATGCTAGCCTCTATTCCTCTTCACTCCAGAATGTGCTCAGAACACATCTGACTTTCAACTCAGCTCTCTATTGTCTTGCAATTTTAGCATGTGTCAAATACAAACCCAGAAGCATACCTTTTCCCACTTGCTGTTGTTAACTGATTGTTTCTTTGTAGGTGAGGATTTTCTTCAAGGAAAAATATCACTAATGCAGCAGATATGAAAATATATTTTTTTCTGCATGGATATATTTCTAATATCCTTTTCCAGCAATAACTGAGCAAGCAAAGCAAGGGAATTTTATGTTGCTGCCTAGTCAAACTCCCTGACGTAGTCTGTCTGCTGTGCTCATGCATGTTACAGCAGGAATGTACATCAAGTTAACCAGCTTTGTCTCTCCAGAGCAGCAAGGTGGGCTTTAATCTGCAGTAGAAGTCCCCCTGATCTGTCAAAGAAATTCTTTCTATTAACTCTAATAGCCCAAAGCCTCCCACTGTGCTCCCTTGCTTTTCTTCCCTATTGCTACTTCCATATTGATCTGAACTGCAGTTGCATGATCTTGACCACAAAGTCTAGTGTCTCTTTTAGATGCTGTTTCTGCTGCTCACACCTGACATATTGCACCTCCGGAACTAAGGGAGATTTATCAGGACTGTACTACACTTCTTCCAAATCAGACCTTCTTTGAGAGCAGAACAAGTGGTGCCTTCTGTTTAACACTGCTGGCCCTTGTCCAATTTTCAATATCTAACGGGAGGATTTTTATATTTGAAAAGTGATGCTTGTGTATGCAGCCAAAATTAAAGATAGTTTTCTATTCAAGGTAGAGCTCAAGCAGCCTCTACCTCAGGGATTCCTACCCTGCTTTTCCAATGCTTCTTGAAAAGCTCCAAGTTATCCCAACCAGTTTGTTCCCTGATCTTTACCAAGACAGGATGCCATTCTAAAACAGTAGAAAGTGACCACTGTCTTTTTTACAACAGGCCATAAAAGCATAAAAATTACACTGTGTTGAAGGTATATAAAAACCTCAGAGTCCAATAAAGCCAGCTGACGGAGCTGAAAGCTCTGATAGCCTCTGCAAGGGGCACCTTTGGGTCAGTGTCTGCTGAGTGATGTCCATATGAAAGGGGTACTGTTTGGGAGGAGAAGTACAGGGATTTTGCTTTTAACCAGCCTAGATTGAATAGAGAAGGGCAGGTGGGGGCTTCTGAGAAAGTTGTGTATAAGGGATGGTTCTTTGGGACTGGACTTAGGAACATGGCCGAACCTCTAGACATCGGTGTGGTTGGTGCTTTCCAGATGAATGAGAGATGAAGGAGGTAGAGGTAGTTGTGGAAGACCAGAATAATCTTAAAAACTATTCTGGGAAATATCTTAGTAGTCATATTCTTTTCCAAGGTGCATGCCTGCTATTCTGAAAAAGAGCTGTAAGGAGAGTTTTAGAAGGAAGCAGGCTTTCACAAAGCCTGGACTAACAGCTGGAGCATGAAATCCACATACACAACACAGAGAAAGTGAGGATTATGAATTCTATCTGGGGGGAAAGGTCCAAGTCTAGATGAAATGGCTTTCCTTAATATTTCCTTAATATTTCCTCAGTGCTCTAGATTAGTACAGCATTTTGGGGTGCACGGCACTTTTCTCAGCTTCTTCTCAGCCAAGTGAGCAGCACTGGAGCAGTAAAGACTGTGCTGTCCCTGGGGCAGGTCACTCCTGTTCTATTCATGTTTCTGTCCAGGAGCGTCACTTGCACCAGGACATCACAGGGATACCACGCTGTTGCAATGAAAGTACCTTCTAGTTCTCCCCATGCTATTTATTTCATTCCAGTTCTGCTGCCCTGTGCCATATTTTTTGCAGAGAGAGCACTACACAGGACTCTACAGTCACCCTAGATGATTTTGCATTTGTGTGGCTTGCTTGGCAGAGATGGGAGAGAGATGAAAGGTACAAGCGTACTCCTATCTTGTCATAAAAGGAAAGTGTAAAGGGACCAGGGGATTTTGTGGCTGAAGACTCTTGTCTATGTACTCTGGAGTCCTTATGACTTAAGTTTTATATCAGTGAAGCTTTACTGATTGCAACTTATTTCCTGACTCACGTCATCTTAGAGGAGATCAGCACCTGAGCTATGCAGCTCAGACATGAATTGCCAGCTACATCTTCATGGCATCCCTAGTGGCTGAGGGAAGAGGCTTTATGTTGGTGGAGTTCCACCTAAATGAGAGAAAAGCTTTGGGGAGATCAGAGCTGTGCTCAGCACCTTGCACAGCATGGGTCTTTCCTTCTTTCAGCATTTGGTGATTTCCAAAGCACAACTGCAAAAAATTCAAGTTGCTTGACTGTACAAGGAGTTCAAGTATGTACACATATAACAGTCCTGTGAATGAGGTCATCATTCTCTGAAGCAATCCATTAATGATCTGATTTCAGTAAAATGGGATTTTTACCCCTCCGCAGAATCGGAATGGGGATTGTGAAGGGTGCTTTTTCCTGCTACAAAGTATGACTATAACCATCCCTTACACACACTGCTGGGGTTATCCTTCATGTGAAGTTTAGTTTTAGTCTTGTCCTCATCAAAATTTCTCTGGAATGAAAGGTGAAGAAATGTGATTCCCTGAGTTACTGAGAGCAGGAGATCTGTCTAAGAAGGCTCCAAGATTCATGTTGGCCCATTTCTGATGGGCCTGCCCTCTTTAGTGTTCTTATTTATGGACCTGTTAACAAAACACTGCTTTGGGATATATATTTTTTTTCCTTTAAGGGAAAAAGCTTTCACATTTGGTCTGGAAATGAGACTACTTAAGCTGTTGCTCATTTTGCACTGGAGCTGCCACATCTGCAGCTGGAACTATGCCAAGGCTCTGATGGAAGAACAAGCAGATGGACTTCTAACCTTTACAAAGGGTATATTACAGCAAAGCAAATGGGAATTAAATTAAAGAAGCCATACACTCGGTCATTTTATATGAAAATGGGTAAAGTTCAGACACATCTTTGTATTGGAAACAGTTCTGTGCTCTGGTTTTATTTTATTTTATTTTGTTGAGAGGGAAAGGAGGAGTTCCTCTGCCCCAGTGGTACCATAGCAGGAAAGTAAAAATTCATTATTTTGTTCCAGACACAAACATTCTTGTTGAGAAAACATTAGAATGGAATGTAGAATTGAAATTTCATGGTTTAACCCTGGCAGGCAGCTAACCCCCATCCAGCCACTCGCTCATTCCCCACTGGTAAGTTGGGGGGGAGAACTGGGATTGTAAAAGGATAAAGACAGTTTGATAGGTAAAGCAAAAGCTGCACATGCAAGGAAAGCAAAACAAGGAATTAATTCACCACTTCCCATGGGCAGGCAGGTGTTCAGCCAGCCCGAGGAAAGCAGGGCTCCATCACATGTAAGGGTGACTTAGGAAGACAAACACCATCATTCTGAATGTGCTAGAGCAGGTTTGGTGGCACTGAATGTCCATACAGGGTCAGCCCAGAACACCCAGACTAAAACAGTACAAAGAGAAACCTCATAAAGTTGAAGACATTCATGGGTATTGAAACAGGTCACTTTTTTTTTCCTTGTGCATTATAAATGTGATTCAGATGAACAAGCACAGGTTCTGCTCTTTAGATTACACTTTTCCTTAAGGCATATCCTTGACTTTCTCATTTGATTTGATGTAAGAAGTTATTAAGTGACACTTCTTGACCTAAGATCCAAGTTTAGAGGGTGATGAATTCTGTCTTAGCAGTTCATGTTTCCCTGGAAATTTTGTTTGGGATGAAAAACTTCTGCTATCATTACTCAGTGTCAACAATATTAAAAAAAATAAAAGACATGCAGTTAAATTGGAAATTAGGAACAAAAGATAGGACTCTTCTCTAGCATCCTGCCTATAAACATTTCTTTAAGACAGAATATCTCTCTGCTGCTTTTACAGTCAAGGAAAATGTCTCCTATTCTGGTTTCACGGAGAACAGAACAAATTGGAAAAAACTGTAGGAGTAGGAGAGAAGTAAGCTCATAGAGATCATAACTTTTAGGTAGAGCACAAGGTAAAAAAGATATGAATAGGTAGTACTGCCAGCAGAGAGACTGTTAACAGAAAGAATTAACTACATATTCAGTAGAAAGTCTCCTGTCTGTGTAGTGTTCAGTGGTGCTACTGATGTGTCTCTGGGTAAACTAAAGCAAAACCTCATTAAAATGTAGCTCCTGGTGATTCTTGTAAAGCCTGCATTATCCAGAGCAGATGATTTCAATAACAAAAAAGTGAACACATCCATTTCTTTGTCTGATTGGCAGCTCCATAATAAATACTACATAACATGCTAGGAAGAATTTGAAAGCCGGTCACAGAAACACAGCAGTCTTGATATTTCAATGACTTGGGTTCCAGCCAGCAATCCACATTTTAAACATGGCCAATGATAAAGTTATTAAGGTTATACTGAAGATCAAATAATGACATGGCTACAGGTTGAG